TAAAAGGCCAAAATATTCTAATTCTAAAGCAACTGACACAAGAACTTAAGAGCTGCATATCTGAAAGTAATTTCAGAGGTGGAATCATCTCCAAAATGCTCAAAGAGCTGAAAATGCCGATTTGTTCCTGATGCTGATTTCTTTCCTTCTTACCTTTATTCCCATGATAAAATTGTTTCATTAAAGTAGACTCATTAAAAATCAGACTTAGATATGTTTCATATATTAGAGCATTAGCATATTAGAAATATGAAGCCATTCTCTCTCAAAAATGATCCCAGATTCACCAATAGTAGGTATTTCTGTTACTTTCTCTTAGTGAGAAAATAGATAAACGGGTTGCAGGCAAGGGATCTGGGGGCAACAGTCTTATCTCTAATGAAGAGATATGTAATCCAGGAAACATTTGGATTGCTTATGGTATGAAACTAATGTGAAACTTTTGAAGATAAAAGAATTTTCATTCTCAATAAAGAAAATGTGTGATATATAAATGAATACGGTATATATCTGATTGAATTGTATTTCTAAAGGATCAAATGTACTTGGCTATGGCATTGGTAATGTAATGGTTTACAACTCAATTTTTATAAATTATAAGCCTTTAAATAGAATTCTCATTTTGGAAATTATAAAATAGAGAATATATAAAATAAAGATTTTGGATTCTTTTATTCTTTAAAAGAAGAGAGAACAGGGGTGAATGAGAACAAATATGCTGAGTAGCATGTTTTGAAGTTATCTTTCCATCTGACTTAAAAACTAATTGCTGATCTCTTTTTGGAAAAAAATGACAATTCTAGATTTGTTAAAGTCTTTCATAGATACTCATGGTCTCTCAGTCTTCCCTTCATCACTTTGAAAACAGTTACCCTGTGCTAACTTTTTTTTTTTTTAAACTTCCTTCAGTTTTATTCAGTGTAAAGCTAATCAAAAAGGCATTCAGGGAAGAAATGTGCAAGATTTCACATAACAACCATAAATACAAATTCATCATAAAATTAAAACCTTTCTGGGTAGAGTAATTCAGGTGACTATGAAACTTTGCATGAAGTTAGTATCTATATAAATGATACCAATATAATGGGATTTTACTTAAAAATGTTCCCTAATTTTCTGTTTCATGCTTCATATGCAATCACCACCTGTTAGTTTCTTAGAATACCGAATTGATATTATATTCTTAAAAAATGTATATGTGAGTTTTAGATTGATCTTTAATTTTATACATTGGCTCTATCACAACCTAATTAATGAAACATCACAGGTATATGTCACCTCTTATTAGCATTTTATTGCAATTCAGAAAACAGTCCCATAGACTTAACTACAATATTAAATATTCTTCATTTTAAAAGTGATGTAATCTCATTCATTGAACAATTCTGTACATGTATTTAGACCTTAGTTTTAAAGATTTTGAGACATATACAAGCACAAAACCAGCAATAAACAAGCATCTGTGAAGATTTGACATGGTTGATGGTCTAAACTTTTTACATAGGTAAATCAGAAATTTTAATTATTCCATATTAGCTTTCAGTATGTTTATCCTAATAAATATTCTGCTCTCTGTGTCACTCATTTTCCAGTGTCCTATATATTTCAAGAGAGGTTTTTGGGGGTAAAAGATGAAAATAAGTAGGCAATATATGTGCCCAAATTTGCAAAGCATGGCATTTTTCTATTCTTTGTCTCTGACTTAACCCAATACCAAAGAACCATTAAATAATTATTGTTGTGGGGATTATTGAAGACTGATTACTAATTTGGGGCCAAAACCAAGAAAAATGTAAAAAGTATTAAATAAATAAAAAGCTTAATTCATTTAAAAATTTAATATCAGAATACTGCCACAGATCGACCATCTTTATAAAATCCTGTTTTAGAATTTTTAGTTTGTCATCATGGTCACAGAGTCTTTCATAGTTAACTGTCACATGAGCTTCTGCAAGTTTTTTCTATAACATGGTCGGGGGATCTTTTACATAGTAAGAAAGCATTAAGTAGAAATATATGTGCACTTTTTAATTCATAGTAATTTAAATCTGGCATGATTAAACACATCTATTGAAATACCTTTGAATATACATTAATAGGTAAATTTGGTAAATTTTGAGATAACATATTGTTTCTTCAATTTAAAATATTTTTAAGATATACACCATAGCTATTTAATTTGAAAGGTAAACTTTTTATCAGATAGCGTCATTCTCCTCTATGACACAGCATAGCTGTATCTTTTTATTGCTTAGAAAATCAGTACAGCTTTGTAAAATCTATGATAGCTTATTTTACATATATTTCTACATTGTAATCATTCATTTATTTCTATGTGGTTTCCTATGTCTCTTTTTTTCAATAATATCGTGGAGTTTGAAATTGTCATAATTTATGTATGCATTTTTTTCTGCTCAGATATATACATAGATAAACTAAGTATATGAGAGTGAGTTTAAAGGCAAATGAATTTAAACTTGGAAACAGACATACTCTTTTACAGTGACTTTAGATGTCCACTCCCTAACTACATCCAGGGCCTCTATAAAATGTCTCTGAAATTCTAATCTCAACTATCATCCAAAGGCTAAAATCATTTGAGACTTTTATTTTCTCGTCAGGTTTTCCCTAAACAACAAATGGCTGCCTAGATAACAAAACTCACATACCATTTACATGATTTCTTCCTTTTCCACCTCCTACTCAAGCTTATCCAAAACTTCCCGTTCGTCCACTCCTACCATGTATTCCCTTGACAGAAATTTATTTTGCGGTTAAGAATAAGTTTCAGAATTTTTCATCTGTATATATTTCTGTGGCTAGATAAAAAGTGATATTTCTTTGACAGTAATCTCCATTACCATTTGGACTAATCAGTCTCCTAAATTATTAATACAAATAAAGCACTTTGTTGTACAGCAATATGACCCTGCACACTTGAAGATAAATTTATATTTCAGTAATTAGTAGAGATCATTCACTTTATCAGCTTGATGAACTGTAATGGTGTAAAGCACTTCAACCGTATGGCAGATGCCTCACTGATGGGCACTTGGTTTTGGCAGACATTTATTCATTCATTCACTGAACAAATATTGAACACTTCCTACACTCCAAGTGCTATGCTAGCTGCTGGAAGAATAACCCAATCATGCTCATACCACTCGAATCCATACTGCATTTATGTCCATCTGATTATAACCTAGGATCAGAGAACTGACACTCAAGAGCTAAAGCCTTTTTATTAAGGTAATTTAAGTGCACATGTTTTTTGTAATCAGGTAGTTTTGCCTCATCTTCATGAGGTTATCTGTGGAATAATCCAATTCTATAACATAAAGAGATTTTATAATGGGGTTTTGATATAGGTTATTTATCATTCTCTCCCAAACCTAGACTAGCAGAACTATCATGAATTACATAAGCACCCCAGCAGATTCTGTCTTCTCACTCAGTTTGACATTGTCATTTAAATTGATTATTCCTGATTGACCTTCACTGATATACATATAAATTTAATAGATATATTGTACCTGTTAGAATAAATTTTCCCCAAATGCCTACAAAACTCAAAGAAAAATGTAGTTACTATAAAAAAAAAGAGTACAAATAAATCTCAAGTTTTTTTAAACTAAGAAAGCAATAAAGTAAACTACGAATTAAAATCTTCACAAAAAAAATGTTAATGAGTTTGCAAAATGAATGCTTCCAGGAATACAAAGAACATTTTGTGTAGATATAACTTAAAAGATTGTTGTGTTTGTTGGGGAGATTTTTTTTTCAAGTGCAATTCTCGAAACTTAACATAGAAATCTACTTGTACCTAAGAGACATAAAGCTTAGCTATCAAGGTTTGTAACACGTAGACTATAAGAAAAACATTTAATAATACATATTTAGATAGAGCTACTTTGAGAAGAGGGCAGAGAAAGTGCTGCAATATTATTAATTTTCTTATCCAATAAATAGGCCAAACTGTGGAAAGTCTTCACTAAATCTTCAAATTTTTATTGGTCTTAGAATCAGAGTTAGTATTTAAATATCCAAAAGACTGGGGAATACTTTAAGTGGAAAAAGCAGGGAAGATAATTAAGCAGAGTACCTATATTTAGTGCTTAAATAAGTCCTTAAATAGCATTCTGAAAAATCACTTCACTGATGCTTAAGATCAATTTTATGAATCTTCTCCAGGGTTGTAGGAATTAAAAATGTATTCAAAAGGAAGAATATTTAGCATTTGAATAGTCAAGAGTCCTGTCATATTTAAAATAAATGGAATTGGCTCTTATTCAGATAATACGTAAACCTAATTACCAATCCAACCAAAACTTAAACTTTGTAAGGTTAACAGTTAATTTACATATTGGACAATACTTAAATAACATCAGTACCAATTAATATTGTGGATACAATATACATTTTTATTCTAATTCAACTATTTTTTAAAAATGTAAGGAGAAAAAGGGTGATACAGAGAGAAAGAGGAATGAAAGAGAACACAGAAGACCAAGGACTTTGAAAAAACAGCAAATGTTGCCTTGTCTTCAATGATCTATGCATTAAATCTCCCATGTACTCAGTATACTGGAATATTAACTATCCCTACTCCCACACCTACCACCGATCAAGATCATTTATAAATAATGTTTTCACCTCATAAATAATCGCATATTCAGCTACAAATGGCAGAGACCCCAAAACACTAGACTATTAATATATTTTCCTTTCTTTGTATTTCAATACCTTTGGCACATAGGGGATTATCTATGCTGAGATCATTCAGCTTTCTATCAAAAATTCTGCTTCAATGCATAAACAGCGGCATGCCAGAGATGCCCAAATTCACAGTAAGGTTTAGGGCTATTTGTTGCCGAAAGCTATAACCATGCAAGTTGAGTAAGTGTTCTCTTTCATGCTCCTGTCTGTATTATTTCATTGGATAATGAGATAGGCTGCCCTTTCTGTCCATCATTAGAGCAGCTGGAGACAGCATTTGCTACCTGGCAAAACTTTCGAAGAAGGATCTTTCTTAGCAGCAGATAAACCCAGGGATCCAAGATCTGGTTCAGTGAAGCCAGGCGGACAGCTATTAAGAAGAAGTTGCATTCTTTCTGCTTTTCTGGGTGCGTCTTGCAGTGCTCAACTGATGTCTGATTGAAGATCATTTTCAACATCATTATCTAAGAAAGAGAGACAAATAATTATTCCAAAGATTAATAAGGTCATATGCATCTCCTCTACACAGTACTTTGCATGTAATTTACAATGAATTGGTGGTTATATTGAAACAATGAATTCAAGCAACACATACTCACAGAACACAGCTCTGAGTTATATGAGACATTCCTATGGATGTTCCTGCATTTTTGGCTATTTGACACGATGCAGCTTTTTAAAAAGTGCATGTTCTCAGGCTCTTGGTGCTTAGAATTTAAGAATTTTGAAAGTAACACATCTCAAAATTAGCCAAAGTCATCTGTCTTGTTGCAGAAAACAAGATACCCAAACGAGAGCCAAGAACTTCAACAAAACTGAAACATATTTAATCTTAAACTTCAGTAGTTCTAATGGAAACAAAAAAAAATTACTGAAGAAAAGGTAGAAGCCAGAAAGGGGATAATAATAATAATAATATTTTATGAACCCTTAAAAGTTACCAGGCACTATGTCGATTCTTCATATGTATTTAATAAACGATATAAGATAGATTTTATTACCATCTCCTTTTTACAACTGCAGAAACCAAGGTTAATGATGTAAAATGACCGAGCTAGACTTAAACCCAGGTTTAGTAACACCATATGACATACAGTATTTTATTTTTTTTATCTTTCCCTTTTCACCACATACACATATTAGAATGTAAACTCCATGAGGGCAGGATTTATTTTTTCCCCCACAAGTGTATTCACTGTACCAAGACCAATATTTAGCAGACAATGTCCAATAAATATTTGTGCATTAATATAAGAATATAATATTATGTGACATATATAACATATGTAATATATATTTATATTTGAATGAATGTTTGTGATTTCTATAAGAGAATAAAATAAAGGTTTATATGCATCTGAAAAAAAAATTCAAGCTCATTAATCATTAGAAAAATGAAAATTGTGACAAAATAAGAAACTACTTTACACCCATGAGTTTGACAAAAATGAAGAAATGTGTCTTTTCCAAATGTTAGTGAGGATGCGGAATGATAAGGACTCTTTTACACTCTACTAGCAACAATATAAACTGAGGCGGCCATCTTGAAAAACAATGGCACTATTTTGTCTGCTTCCTCCCAGCTATCCTGCCACAAATTCCTGCACCAGGAGTTGTGTACGTTAACCATTCACCATGACGTTGTTCATAATAGCAAAAAATTAAAATTAAAAATAAATTTAAAAAGCAAAAATAACCTAAACACGAATTTACAATCTCAAGAAAAGAAAGATGCTGACTTTTATAACTGATCCCTAAATTCATTTTCTAGGTGCATGGCTATTAAATGCTTGAAATGTGGCCAGAGCAAACTGAGATGCTGGAATAGGTAATGATATTATGAAATGATAATATTTTTGATATAGTGTGTTAAATAAAATATATTATTCAAATTAACAGTGCCTGCTTCTCTTTACTATTTCTAGAATATTTCCTACTAGAAATTTTTAAATTATATACAGGGCTTGCATTTGTTGCTTACGGTACATTTCTGTTGAAATCACTTCACTGTCTCTCTTGAGGCCCAAAGGAGGTTTAATATTCTGTCCTCAGGTCACAGATTCTAAATTAAAGTCAGTATCCCTGAGCATCCAAAACACCCAGACCACAAACCCACAATCTCAACAATGGCACTTTCATTTTTACACAGTCACTCTGTGTAAGAATGTGAGTCATCTTTGAATCCTTCTTTTGCTTTGTCCTCTGCAATGTCTTTTGCTCTTTTTCCAGTTTTCATCCTAGTTCAGCTCCTCCTCTCATCTGAATTATAGTAATAGCAGATACCCAGATTGTATGTATAGATGTCAACACATCACAGATTCAGAAGCCTAAATCCCAGCTCTGATCAAACCCTCACCAACTATAAAAACTTAGTCTGGGCCTTCTTGGACTAATTCTTAATTAATTCTTGGACTAATTCTTAGGTAATTCTTAAACCAATCACTAGCAAAAAAGATGGAAATATCCAGGTTTGGCTCATAGGACAAATTTATCCCCTGACACTTAACCTATGGTTCTTCACCAAATTACCACCTAATACCCGAACAAAATTATGGTTCTATGAGTAAATAATAAGAGAGGAATGGGTAGGCAACCAACAGATAGTCATATATCTTGAGTCCATAATTTCTTTCAAAGCATTTTTTCCCAAGGGATCTATTCAATAAAAGCAAAAACAGCTGTACAAATAATTGAATGTTCAGTGAAGCATTATCTATACCAGTGAGAAACTGTAAACACATAAATCTCTAATATAGGGAGTGAAGCTTAATAAGATACAATTTTTTTTTATATTGCTTTCAACGCTCCCTTGAGCAGCTGATCAGAAGGAGCAATAGTTCAGAGTATATGTGTACTTTCTAAAGAAAGTGCCTCTGTACTGTCCAAGCATCCTGGTTTTTGTTTGTCCTTCTCCCTTGTATAAGGAATAGAATAGTATATTTGGTTCACATAATAAGAATTAAGTCTAGAGTAGAATATACATCCTGATCACATGACAGTATAAGAATTGTTAAAAGACCAGAATATAAGATAGTATTATATATAAAGTTATATTATTATAATTAAATTATGTAAAATACATAGACTTATGGAAGGCAATGAAATTATTACTATTAAGCAATAACATGATGAAACAATAATTAAATTAATTTAAAAATTTTATATACATAAAAACATTTCAAACAATTTAGAAAAGGCTTTATTTAAATGAAGTTGATCATTATTCCCTTCATTAATAAATATGAATTCATTATACTAACTTATTATACACCAGATTTATTTAAAATGAATCCATCTACTGATGGATCCATCTTCTGATGTTGGCACAGAGTCCTATGAACTGAACACTGCCTGCCTCCACCTGTGGAATGAAGATGGACTCCCAGCAACGATCTCTAGGTCTCAGTCTCCAGAACCTATGACTATGTTATCACACATGGCAGAAAGAATATGCAGATATGATTAATGTTAAGGGCTTTAAGTTGGGGAGATTGTCCTGGATTATCTGGGCAGGTTCAATGTATCACATGAGTCCTTAATATCTGAGAACTTTCCCAGCTGTAGTCAGAGGGAGATGTGACTACAGAAGCTTGGTCAGAGAGCTATAATGTTGCTGGTTTTGAAGATAGAGGAGGGAGCCATGAGTTAAGAAATATAGATGGGTGGCCTCTAGAAATTGAAAAAGCAAAAAAGCCAGTCTTTGATTCTCTTTCAGAGCTTCCAGAAAAAACTCAGCCCTGTGGACACTGTGATCGATGTCGGGCTTTTAAGCAACAAAACTATACGAAAAATTTGTGTTGTTTTAAGCCACCAAGTTTGTAGTAATTTGTTAGACAGCTACCATAGAAAACTAATACACTCATGGAGGAGAGTGAGCTCTTAGATGTAGAGAAGGGACAGGGAGGAATGAGCTTGAAAATGATTTATGCCCTCTCATAGATAAAGCATCCTAGCAAGCTTGTTTACTTTGCTCACTTTCTTAGGAGACTTTTTTTTTTAACATAAATAAAGTAAGAGTAAACTTTATCCCAACTCCTGTCTAAATTATCTCAGTTTCTAAATTCACAACATGTAAAAATGAATTTTTGTTATTCTAGTGACGTTAGTTAGATGTCAGTGTGTTTGAGTAAAAGATATAAACCTACATTTTCTATTCGGTTGTCTTTTAAAAATAATTGTGGTTAGTAATCCTTTTTTATAAACATTTGGAAAGGTTTTATCTAGCTCTTTCAGCCCCTCGCCTCATCCAATTATTAAATATATTTGACCACTTGCCATATTCCAGAAAGTGTTCTGGGCGTGGTTTAGAATGATCTAAAAATACTTAAATTTCAACTTAATGTTTTCTTATAAAATAAAGTATTGAATTTCTCCAACTTTTTATAATCAGGAAAATGTCCAAAATTACTTATTAAAATGGGATTTAAGTCATTTTTCACAGTTCTCCTTGATTATTTTTAAATTAATTTTTATGAGGCTAATAATACTAAATTATTTTTATTAGGCTAATATAGGTTTCATATGCCTTACATTGGTTAGTAGACTGTATAATTTCCTGTAATTTACTATTGACAATGCAGTGATTATGACATTATGTAACCAAGCTGTGTAAGCAATAGCTGGCACATGGGGAGAGACACTCTAGCTTTTCCCAGAAATCATGAGATGTGCAATATGAAGATAATTTGAATTAGAGGCAGTGAGCATGATATTGCCATTTCCAAATGGCAGCGGGGATGGAAGTAAGACTCCAAATTCCTCCTTTAATTTTGAACATAAATACAAGTTAGCATCCATCTGTTTTGTTGACTTCTCTATACTTGAGCTAAACAGTGATTACATTTTTTTTGCAAATAATTTTTAGACAGACTTTGGAAGAAAAACTTTGGCATGAATATGTAGATTTCTAGGAGACTTAATTACGCCTATAAGTCCAATTCTACTCCTTATACGAGGGAGAAGGGACAAACAAAAAAGAGAATGTTTGGACAGCACAGAGGCTATATTTTGTTAGCAAACGCATAAATACTCTGCACAATTGCTCCTTCCAATCAGCCTCATATAATGAGCTAGCTGGTCACGGGAGCCTTGAGACCAATTCTGGCCAAAGAAAGCTGGGGCTCTTCTGCCAGCATCTTCCCCAAGATCCACGTGACTCTCCCAGACTTCTCACTTCTCCCCCTGGTAATTAGCAGGAATAGAGAGCTCTTTTTGTACCCGTGATAACCAGGAACACAACTATATCTGTGACTTCTAAATTCTCTATCCCTGGGTAGTGTCAAAGGCAATTACCTTGCTCCATCCTTAAGGGAAAAAAATGATTTGTCTCCTCTCCAGTGATAATGATCTTTGAAATGTGCAAAACACAAACTGGGGAGATTATTTTTAGTATTCTGCATTTGGATTGGATTTGATTGCAGCAGGATTCAAAACTACACATTTAAAAATCTTTAGTATTTCACTT